GATTATGGATGATTTAGAATGATAGGTTTTGTGGAATGGTGAAGGAAGTGATGGTGTTTGGATTGGTAGGGAAGGCACGGCACAAGGGGAAGTGTGTGTGTTGTGTGTTGTGTTGTGAATGGAATGGAATGAATTGTGGCTGCAATGGGTGCTTATTTATAGGTAAATGAATGATTAAAAGAGGGAACATGACAGCTAGGAGGTGGGTGGAAATGTGGCTGCAAGGTGAGTGAATGATTATGAGTGAATGCATGTGGATGTGGCTAGGTTGGAAAGCTGGAATTGTGTGGTGGCCATGGCATGGGTGTGTTTGTGGCTGATTTGTTTGTTGGTTAAAGATGCATGTGGATGAATTATACAATGGGAAAGTATGTGATTGACAACTAGGGTGAATGGTGGCTGCAATGATGAAGTGTGATGGCTGAAAATGGCAAGGGAGGTGCACGGCAATGATGGTGTTTTTGGAGATGAATGTGGCTGCAAGGTGTAAATGATTATGGCTGCAAGGTGTAGATGATTATGGGTATGATAAGTGATAAGTGTATGGTTATGATAAGTGATAAGTGAATGATTATGATAAGTGATAATAAGTGAATGATATGTGGTGATGATAAGTGTATGATATGTTGTTATGATAAGTGTATGATATGTGATGATGATAAGTGATAAGTGTATGGTTTTGATAAGTATATGATAGGTGGTTATGATAGTTTGGTCTTCAATTTCGTCCATCTACTTGGCTTTAAGCATATGCAATCCATTTAATGCCCCAAATTACTCCAAAATGCACCAAAATGCTCCACAATGCATCCTTTCGTCAAACACGTTTTATGATCCTGAAAACACACAAAACTAACTTAAAAGACTTAAAGAACTAAGAAATAACAACGTAAATGTACGAGAACAAGCCATTTAAGTCGCATGAATATGCTCCTATCAGTAACTGTGTATCTCTATGGGGATATTGATACGGAAATTTATATAAAAGTTCCTGAAGGACTTACATTGACTGGATCAAATATTTCCAAACCCTGGAACACGCTCTCAATTCGGCTAAGGCGTTAACTCTATGGTTTGAAGTAATCCGGAAGAGTGTGATACAACCGTCTGAGTGAGTATTTAACTAGTCAGGGATATGTGAATAACGAACTATGCCCTTGTGTGTTCATTAAGAAGTCACATTCCAGTTTTATGATAGTTGCAGTATATGTCAATGACATGAATCTCATCGGAACTCCTAAAGAGTTCGTGAGAATTACCGCGCACCCGAAGTCAGAATTTGAGATGAATGATCCAGGAAAGACTTGATATTGTCTCGGTCTCGAGATAGAGCACTGTTCAGATGGAATCTTAGTACATTAAACGAACTACACCAGAAGGTGTTGCGCCGTTTTAATAAGGATAAAGCAAAGCCTTCGAGTACTCCTATGGTCATTCAATCGCTAGATGTAAAACGAGATCCCTTCCATTTGGAGCCTGAAGTTCTTTATCTAAGTGCGATAGGCGCTTTATTGTACTTAGCTCAATGCACTAGACCCGACATCTCCTTTGTTGTTAGCCTTTTGGCAAGATACAATAATGCACCAACATGCAGACACTGGACTGGTGTTAAAGACATTTTTTTGCTACCTTACGGGTACTACGGATTTGGGCTTATTCTATCCCTACGGATCCTCGAGTGATGCCGCACCCCTTTATTTCGAGTCGATTCTCGCTTTTTTGGTTATGCCGATGAAGGATACTTATCTGATCCACACAGAGCTCATTCTCAAACGAGTTATGTCTTTACAGTTGCAGACACTGCAATCTCTTAGAGGTCAACTAAACAAACTTTAGTTGCCACTTCGTCTAACTATGCTGAAATTCTTGCCTTACATGAAGCAACTCGGGAATGCTTTTGGCTGAGAGCAGTTGTCTATATTCGAAGCTTTTGCGATCTTTACCTCGACGTTAATGTCCCGATGACGATCTATGAAGACAACTAAGCATGCATCAAACAACTCAAGAAGGGTTACATCAAAGGAGACAACACTAAGCACATTGCGCTGAAATTCTTTTTCTCACATCAACAACAAGAGCATTAGAAGATTGAAGTCACACAAATCTGTTCACAAGACAATCTGGCTGACCTTTTCACCAAAATCACTACCGAATGTGACGTTTTAGAAGCTTGTTCAAGGAATTGGTATTGGTAAACTTTATGAGTTGTAACATTTCTAGTTCTTTTTGGAATTGTGTCAAATTTAGGAGAAGTATTCTGAAGTATACTTGTTTGATCTTAATGGACTATTTTTTCTTACGATTAAGAGCATTTTGTCCACTAGGATTTTGCTACCTAACTAGGTTTTGACGAGGCACCCACGTTGGGTTGATCATATCTCTGATAACGTCTCGTAGACGCTTCATTTAACTTTGTATTTCTCTTGCATTTTTCCTTAGATTATAGGTTTTGTCCCTACTTGGGTTTTTACCATAGCCATATGATTTTTTTAGTGAGACTTAGTCCTTTATGCAAGTTCTAACCTTATTGAGAATAGTTTGTTCCTCGAATCAATGCTGACGAGTCGACTTCCTCAACCTCTACATGATGCCGAATTTACTTGAGTATTTACACACTCAAGGGGGAGTGTTATAAACTTCTAGTTTAAGTGTGATTGTGTAAATCCTAGATTAGATTTGATTCTACTTATTCCTTCCTATATGGACTTGTATTCCTTGGAGGAGAAGGATTTATTTCCTCTCTCTCTTATTACTATAAAAAAAGGCACTGTGTAGGGGGAATAACACATCCTCTACACATTGCTCTACACAACCCTACAAACACATATCTCTCTCTAATCTCTCTCTATTTTCCTTCTCTGTGCTAACGGCGCCCTTCCCTGTCGGATAAACTAGGCTACAACAAAAGATAAAAATAATAATAAAAATAAGATTATAAATCCACACCCAATAATTAAACCTAACCATCACCATTACGTATCATTCTCCTACATTCTATAATGACAAAAATCATAAGATGCTCTCGTAGAAAAAAATGAACTTCTTTTTTTACGGATGGATAGTAATTTTGAACCATCGACAATCTATACTAAGGCAATTGCCCCTTCTCTTATACTTGGATGAGATGGAAACACATGGAGTGGATGGAAAAGGGAAGGATTTTCTCTTCCTTTTCTGTATAGAGTAAGAGTGGAGGGGGTGTGGTGTGCATGCAAACCCATCATATTCAACCCCTTAAAAATTGGACAAGTTTGAATAAACAAATAAAAATTGTAAACATGGGACCATAAATTTGTATGCAGCACATATGATGCATGTGAGCCTAATTTCAAAAACATCTTAAACAACTTAAGTCTTTAAATTCTACCCAGGATATGTCAAATAAGAATATGTGTTGTGCTGCAATCATATTAGAAACTAATGAGAAAATTGACCAATAGTATCAAGTCTTGACAAATACGAAACTGAGTTGAGAGAGCAACACTATAGAGGGGGATGGAGATTCCATCAAAAGCAACTGTTGGAAGGAGAGAACGTCAGAGGAGAAGAGCATGCTTTGATTTTTTTGGTTTTTTTTTTTATGGGTGTAAAGATAAATTTACATATTAAATTGGGTTTGTGAGGGTAGTTTAGATAGTAAATTTGGGTTTCAAGAGCTATTGATAGTTCAATTAAAAATAAAATGGGTATAAAGAGTAAGGTGGGTGTAAAAAGAGGTTAAATGGGTGTAAATAAAATTACCCATTGGGAAATTTCCGATGTTGGGACATTTTCCATTGTTTAATTATTAGGAAAATTAATGAAAATAACTTGAAAGCTTTGAGTTTTAATCAAAATGACAAAAAGGTGTTGTAAGTGAATAGTACTAGGAGTGACTTTGTAGAGTAAAAATGTCTTTTTCGTTAAAAGTGAACAGTACCGGAAATGTTTTTGTTAAAACTTCCTTAATTATTATGATAACCATTTCACAATGAATGGTTTAATATAAAAATTATGTCACTTAGTACTATGGTCTAATGGTATTCATCTTCACTTGTAAGTGAGAGGTCTTAGGTTCGATTTTGGCCAAAAGCGAATTTGAACCACATTATTTCTAGCCTATTATGAAACTAAGCCCACTCTCCCTCTAATACTATTTATTCAAAAAAAAATTACATTTCTTAACCACCAATTGTTAAAGAAAGAGGTGCTTATTAGTAAAGTACTCTTCCTCAACTAAAAGAGGGTGAAAAGATGAAATCAACCATGTCAATAAAATTAAAAAAATAACCAAAATAAAAGTTATGGGCAATATAGTAAATTAAACATAAAATAAAGGTTATGGGCAATATAGTTGTCCCAATTTTTTCTTCCATGTTTTTCTCACAAATAAAATAATCTTTTAGTGACGAAATAGTTATCCAAGAACAGTGACTAAAGGTATGAACAACCTCTTCAGTGATGAAAAATTGTTTGAAGGTTGTTATCAAAAAACTTTAGCGACCATTTTATATTTTCTCTTTTTAAATTTTATTTTCAAAATTTTAATAAGTTTTATATAAATTAATGCTATATCTAGAATAATATTGTCGAAATTCGAGAAAAAAAAAAGAATCATATCGTTGACAGGACTTCTATTGATATATATTTTATAACACAATTAACATGAATGGTCATTTCTTGACATTTGGTTATCAATATTGCGTTGTCGTTATTAAAAATAATCATTGTTGTACCGTCGTTATATGATCAATATTTCATTGTTATTAAATATGATCATTTATACAACTAAATCAGTAGTCATAACTGCTAATTGCCCTATTTTGTATGCAAATATTGTCTCTCAACAATACACCAATACCTAGTAATTTTAATCGCTTAAAGGAACTGCTTTGACCCTACCAGCGTTTTGGCCTTGTCTTTTCTCTCCCTCTCAATGTTGTATCATTGATACCCTCCTGATCACAAAAATTTTGAAATACTCATCAACAATAAAGAGAAGAAAAAGGAAAGTAAAAAGATAAAGAAAAGCATTTTGATTTCTCTTTATCATTATTAAGATTCCTAACACTAACAAAATGACTGCAATTGCAAGCCACATTCTTTTTTCATCATCATCACGTCATATTTGCCATCACTTTCCAACTAAAAAGGAGACAAACACAAAAACTCGAAATTTACAGAGCAGTGGGATTCAAACCACAATATTGGATTAACGATCAAACCCTAAAGCACCCGACATGGAGGTGGTGGTGCTGGTGGTGGTGATGGTGGTGGAGGGAGTTCTCCCTATCAATCATGCCTTGAACGGACCTGAACTCCTCCACATGGCAAGGGATGGTGATGGTGCCCTTCTGATCAAACCCATACTCTTCCTCCGCTTCCTTCAAGAGCCGTATGAAGAGTGGGTGATTGAAGTAAATCACAGGCACCACAAACCTCTGTTGCTCTTCTCCCTGGCCTACCTTGATTGCCAAACACCCTTTTGGAACATCTCTAATCACTTGTTTCTTCCCACCGTGATGATGGTGGTGGTGAAGATGCGGCAGGTGCCGATGGAAATTTCTCAGACTTCTCTCTCCGCTACCCATATCTGAAAAATATTAATAGAAAAACCAACAAACAAAGGCGAGAAGATGAAGACCAAGACAAACCCTAGGGCTGTTGATCTTCTCCCCTATAGAAAATCTTACAAGAAAATGAAGGAAAACGGCCAAGGATCTGAGGCTGCGATGGCTTGCTTGAATAGGGTTAGAGAAGAGTAACTCAGAGACCTTGGTACGTTGGTCATCTTTGATAAACTACACTCCTATGATGTAAAACGGATACAAACCAGAGAATGAATTTGATATATACATAATAATATATATATATATATATATATATCTACGTGTATATATATATATATATAGAGAGAGAGAGAGAGAGAGAGAGAGAGACCAAATATAATCTGGGCTTTCATTAGGTATGTAACTAGGGTTTCGTAAGTGGGCTCCTTTAACCCAAGTCTTAGTTAACGATGATATCATCCTCATCTTTTGAAACCAATCAGATAATAAAGTGGGGTGCTGGAACGTATGAGACTTGGGTTTCTAGTCCTTCACACACAGGGAACTTGGATTGTTTGACCATGCGGTATATGGAACATAATTGTGTTATTTTTTGTTTTGAGAAATGACATAATAATTTACAATATTAAATTTATCTAAATATAAGGAGGGGAGAGGATTGAACTCGAAATGCATGAGAATGAAAAGTAATGCACTATCCATAAGTTGATTCAATTGGGAAACGATTTTGAGGTGAAATAATAGCTATTTTATTTTATTTTATTTATTATTATTGTTTTTTTTTTTTTTGTTAAAAGGGGGCAACTAGTGGCAAGCCACGGTTATCCACCTCTTCCGGGGGGGGGGGGGGGGGGAGGGGGGTCGGAAAGACTCACAGAGGCATTTCAACCTCCTCTTGACCACAAGTCTGGTTTTCACACTAACAACGGGTTTCGAACCCAAGACCTCCAGTTTTCAATTTGAAGAAAGCCTCGCAATTCACCTTTTACCATTGAGCCACCAACTCGTGGTTAAATAATAGCAATTTTATTAGAAAATTAAAAGAAAAGTAGAAACTGTAATGATGGTAATATTAAGGGCCTTCAAATTAAAATCAATAAGGTAACCTTGGTCAGTTTAAACAACCAACGTATTGGCAGATTTCTGGAAGTGATAATAACGATAGAAACAAAGGAACGCAACAAATCTTGTAATCATCAGCCGACCAAATTCAATGAAGAAGAAACACCACACAAGTTGTCCAAGACTTGGGTCGGTTGTAATCACCACTCAAAAAACAAAAGAAATTTTCAACCTTGACAATTGAAAATTCAATCACTTCTTACAAAACCACCAACTGAACTAGCAACTAAAATGTAGAAAAGAAGTGAGAGAGATTTCAAATCTAAACTTGGCTTAGACAAATATTAACTATCACCACAAAGGGATCATTATTCACCACACTAGACGTGAAAGGAAAGAGGTGAGAGTATTGGAGGAAGGAGATCGGTGCTTCCCCTTTTTCCTCATGTGACGATTTTTGCTCTAAGCTCTCTTTCCTTATGACGAAGATTTATTCAACATATTTTGTTCGTACTCTGAATCCTATTTATTCAGCAGCTATTGCTCACAAGATTTACAATTTATTGTACAACCTTTAAGAACCTCCTTTAACAAATCATAAATTGTCTATCACTAAATCAAATACTTTTTGGCACGAAGAGTACATGATTATATGTGAGATATTAAGTGAGACGATAAAGTACTACATTATATATGCAGGTATTGGGAAACTGTTCTCTTATTTTTTTTTTTTTGTAGAAATTAGATAGGGTAGGAACAAGGTTCTAAAAAACGTTTAGCGCAAGTCAGGCAGTAGGTTGGGGCCTAGTGCCTAGGCGGCTAGGCGGACTAGGCGGATTTAAGTGAATCTATTATATTTTGTTTAAATAAGTGTCTGTTTATAGTTAATATATATATATATATATATATAGATATAAAATTTCATCATAAACTACAAAATATAATGACTTATTTATTATGAAGTATTGGAATATAATGAAAACATGGGGAACAAGCATATAATGTGTGTTCATTTAAGTATTCAACAAGTCTTACAATTTATTAAAAAAAAAAAAAAAAGATGCAAAATGAAAGTTATCTGTTTTCTGTCTAAGTGAGTCTCAACCTAGGTGGGTTTGGACGGGCTAGACGGGTGACTAGGCGGTCTAGGTGGACACCTCAATAGGTCTAGGCACCCTTTCTTAATTTTCAAACGCCTAGACATTAATCAGGGCAATAACCAGCCGCCTAGCGCTTAGGCGGGGCCTAGGCGGGAATTTTTAGAACAATGGGAAGGAATGACTTGTATAGGGAGGTAAGACACGTAGATTGTGAGTGGAAGAAGGCAAGACACGTGGGTGGAGTTGGAGTCTTGAAGCACCTAAGCAAGAAACCGACAGTGAGGTGTCGTCTACAAGATGGCAAATTCTGGGGACATCCAATGGCAGCTCTCGAACATGTCCATGTTGACATACATTTGTTAAAAGACACAAGGCACAAGACACACAACATAAACCCACCCTTTCCCTCATATGAAATGTATACTTCCAACAACTTGGAGGGGTCGAATCAAATCGGTTACAGAATGACAAAATGGTCCTTCTCTCCTTTCGGCTCAAAATACCATTCCAGTAGGCAGTAGGTCCCAACATTTCTTTGGTTTAGAATTAGATGTATTTATGTGTTGCTGGATTTCACTATCAATCGATGGACAAAGTGTGGAGTGTGTGCTGTATAGCGCACAAATATGGCCCTCAACTTTTATTATTTTTTTGCTCTTGTGTAATACAAATTCTCAGAAGTATCCTTCCAATTAATTGAAGAGATCTTATTTTGGGACCAGGAGGTATTATACGGAATATATGTTTTCTTTTTAGAAGAAAAAACCATGTGGTTTGACTTGTGCAAAAATGGTGCTTTGCACACCAAAAGACCTACCCTTAGTGTGTTCCAATAAAAAAGTCTAGTTGCAAAGGAATTTCCAAAGATGAGTGCAGGTTATAAAAATTTGTATATATTTATTGTATTATTCATATGAAAAGAAACCATGTTTTAATCCTATTTTCAATTTTCTTTTTCATATTCTTGTTCAAGGCGTTTGATAGGATTTTTACCATATGCGAAAGTATGGTTAAATTATATTGAAATACTTGAAAGAGAACGCGGTAATTATAGGATAGATAGTTGAAGTAAGATCGTTTTCTATAGGAATTCATACGAATAGCTTGTATTTCAAACAAATTCTTAATTAATATTCAATACAAAATATAGAACGTTAAGATCATGAATTAAAATATTGAAAAAAGAAATTAAAATTAGCTAAATTAGCTAAATTAGCAAGAATAGAAATCACACAAAGTAAAAATAACACACAATTTAGAAAATCAAGGGTAAAAGGCATTACGGTTAAGCCATCACCATTAACAAATCTATATATATAGTTCTACAAAATTATTTATGAGTTAACACATACAAACTTTGAAGGTTGAGTATTCCTAATGCATATTCTGCTTGTGGCATTCAAGCTAGAACGTATATCTAACATGCAATCTATATGTGTCATTTAGATCAAATCTAAACATGCAAGACTCATTAAATTTTGTGAAAACCTTTTGAAAAACCATGCAACCCTTAAGAGCATGGCATTCGCCTTAAGTGAAGTTACAATTATCAATCACAAGAAGCATTATTCAATTTCAGGGTGTCATTCCAATAAAAATGCATCTGATTACTTGTCTAAACATCCTAATGGTGGCCAATTATCAAGACATATAAATAGTCTAAACACGGTGATTGATAATAAGTATGCAAGTATAACATCACAAGGAAATTGACAAGAAACTACATATTCATACTAAAGCTTGTGGTGTGGCCTCGCCCCATCAAAAGAGAATTAGTTATGCATAGTCATAATTGAAAACCCTCATGATTTGATTTGGGATATATTGTTTGAAGAAAGTTTATAATTTTGATGTATTGTCATTTGAGGGTAGGCTCCTTCCGTTGTGCGGGATACTTTTTTTCCTTCGACCAGGTTAAAAGCCCCATCAAGGTTTTATCAAGGCTCATTATGCACACTATCCTTAGTTTGTACATGTTTAGTTTGATTTGCAATGAATATTGTACTTCTTTAAAAAAAAAAAAAAAAGTCATAATTGAAAAGAAAAATATTAGTTAGAAAAAAAAAATATAGAAAACACCCTTGTAGGATAAAGTTGTGAATCACTGAAAGCTCCAACCCCAAAAAATTTATGGCCCCTTAGGGCCAAATACTCGGCATATACATAGACTAATACTTATGTATTCTACCTAAAATAGGTTTCCCGACACATCTAGCAAACCAAATAAATTAATAAACTAAATAACATATTCCTATTCTAATTTGGGTAATAGGGGCAGCTACGAAGTCCACACGTTTTCTGACCAAATCCGCTCCAAATCAGGGCTGCTAGGAAGTGTTAGAAAGTAAAAACGTCCCCCACACTTTTGCAGAAGGAAATTTCCTTAAAAATCGCCATCTTGACTGACTTATAACCCAAATAAACCCAAAACGCCAACTTGGCAGCATTGCACAACCAATGTTTTTTTATTCGCCATAGTCAAACGGCTTGGAAATGGAATATGGAATTTTGATACAATTATCTTGAAAGACTCCTGAATCCACTTCAATTTGAATTAATTACTCCAAAATTCCTTCATTTCTTCGCTTTATGCCCAAAATAGATTCACATGTCCTTCAATTGAAATATAAAGCAAAGTATCGAAATTCTCTCAAAATAACCAATACATTATAACTAAGATTAGGGTAAAAATATAGATTAGTGTCGATTCATCAACGTTCATCTTAGAAAATAAACGTTCAGAGTTTTCTATAGAGTGAAACAAGTGATGGTAATTTTTCTTTTAAAAATACTTATACGATGGCCATTAATTCTAGTGGTGTTAGTGATGAAATGTCATTTAGAAACTTCATATACTTCCAAAGCTCAAAAGTTCTTATGGCTACACTTTCTTGATAAGCTCCTAACTAATGTGCAAAAGCTGGAAAATGGGTATGACCAATAACCCTGGGTGTCAAAGATGTGCTTGTGGCTCTGAATCATTGGCTCATGTTTTTCAAGATGGTCCTCAGGCAAGAGAAGTCTGGTAGAGGTTGGGAATGTATAATCAGTAGTCATACCACATTGATTTTCATATCTGGCTGCTTTTCAATCTCACTACTAAATCACTTCTAACCTTAGGTTTAGAGTGGAGGTTAGTATTTTCTGTTCCTTGCTGGCCTATTTGGGATTGGCAAAATAAATTTGTTTAAGGGCATGATTTTGTAATGACTGATTAACCTGGTGGGGTTGCTAGAGAAGTGGAAGGGGGTGGGCCCCCTTTTTGTTATTGTTAAGTTTGTTTTAGATTAGTTTAATATTTAAATTATTTTTTATGAACTAAATAATTTTTATTCACATAAAAGCAAAGTTGGCATCCACACCTCATTGAAAATGTATGCCTTATATAATTTACCCGAAAACTAACTAATGACCACAAATAAAATGAACAAAGAATTAAACACATTTTCAAATTTTGAGACCTTCATAAAGTGCTACGCAACTAGATTCGGTTTAGTTTCCGAAAAAAAAAGAAGCTAGATTCGGTTTTGTTTTTTTAAGTACCAACACTAAATTATGACAAGTCAAACTAAGAGGAAAAAAAAAAAAAAAGGATCGTATACTAATTAGTAATGTAATTAGGTATGCCGTATATGCGCTAAGTCATTTAGAGATATTGTGGAATTATCCTTGTTATATGCTCCCGAACTATATATATACTATTACATACTCAACGTATGTGATTGTGTTTGATAAAATATGTCAGCAAAATGAGACCACGAGCTGAAAGATGCAAAGTCAATGAAGTGAGGATGAACCATGAGTTGGTGGTCTAGTTGTAAAGAACAGATTATGAGACTTCTTTAAAATTAAAAACTAGAGGTATTGGGTTCGAAACCTACTGCTGGTGTGGAAGCCAAACTTGTGGTCAGAGGGAGGTTGAAATGCCTCTGTGAGTCTTTCTGACCCCCAGAAGAAGTGGATAACTGTAGCTTGCCACCAGTTGTTCCTCTTTTTTATAAAAAAGAAAAAAGAAAAAAGAAGTGTGGATGGAAAAGCCACCCAAAGTGGGGGAGTGAGCCATCGATGCTTGCTTTTGAAGAAAGCAAAAGAGAAAGGGTGTAAATGACATGTTATTCTCTAATTCTTCTTGGAGGGCTGCTTTGTGTTTGAATATTTTCCATACAACATAATTTCCACTGACCTTCAAATAATCAAAATATAATTGTTTTTAACCGATTTGCACCATCTGGTCTAATTGATTATCGGCTTTAATTTAGTGGTCAAATTGAACCAATACAAGAATAAAAGGTAATTTCGGCCAATATATGGCTTAGACCATGGTTCTATACCGACTTTATTCGAGGATGTGACTTACGCCATCATAAGATTAAAGCCAAAATTGGTATCATTACGGCATACGACCGATATGCTAGTCGATAATGATACCAAGGCCAAAGATGTTATCGACCAACCTATTAAGGCCGCAACCTGACTGTGGGTCAAATGACCTGTGTGACCATGAGCATGAGTCTAATGGCTTACTGGCCTGTGGGAACGTTAAACTCCAAGGCTCTACGCCTATCAATATGAGTTTAGTCAAGTTGGTTAAAAGGCGCGAGTCATCCAAATTGAGATGGGTTTCCAACTGAAAGTAGGCCAACTGGCCAATGCAAGCACCCATGGGTATGAAATCAATTTATTTGGTGGGAATTGGATGAGATTCGTTTGTGGTGGAATGTCAAATAAAGAGGAAATTATGGGATCAATGTCAACCAAGAATTCTCACAATACGGAAGAGATCAAGCTTCAAGTCTAATATATGATAAAATCTACATTTCTCCGACCCAAATCAAGGAGGCTAGCCTATTTTCCAAAAGTTGACTCCGGCCATTTAATAGCAAGCTGGTGGGATGAGCATTAACCTATAAATATGAGCTCCGAAAAAGAGAAAAGGATCCCCCGATGAAACATAAAGCTCGTTATTCAATATTTTCTTCATTTTCTATATAGGATAATGCAGTCTTAGTCTAGATTATTTTATTTTCATGCAACTTATCCTGCACTTGTATTTCAATTTTTATACTTTAAGTGATTTTATTTACGCATTTGTACTTTAATTCTGCACTTGTTTTTCAATTCTTTATTTCACGCACTTTACTTTTCTGTCTCGTCTTTTAAATTTATTTACTTTCAAAACACTTTTATTTCATGCACTTGTTCTTAATTTAATTTACTTTAGGAAAACTTTATCTAAATCCATATAATTTCACTCTACACCCAACTTAAAATTTACACGTAAATTGTCTTTTTTGTTATATTTAATAATGACCATCAAGTAAAGATGAAATTAACTTGAAAACTGAGATATATTAATAAACTTACCTCCAATAATCAAACCATTACAATCTTTCTCGGTGGCTAGTGTCAAACCATAGTCTAGCTCTGTAATTCAAATTCAATATACAGCAGCTGTTGGATGGGTTAATAGAGTTTGTTCTTTGTATTTTAAATGTTCACGTGTAAATTAATAGGGATTTGTTCATATTCCTCAAACACTCAAACTTATGGAACCCTATAATAAATACAATGAACTATCACGATGACAAGGTATTTCATCCAAAAACTACTTTGCATATGCTGAGTTTTGCAAACCTTTCCTCTGGCTGATTGCAGATATGCTTCTCTTTGCCTGCAGAGACTGAGGATGACTTGGTTTTTTTATTTTTTTAAATTGGGTATACAGTTAAATTTACATATTGGATTGAGTTTGTGCTCCTAGTTTAGGTAGTAAACTAGAGTTTAAATAGATATTGATAGTTTAATTAAAAATAATACGAGTGTAGAAAGTAAGTTGGGTGTAGAGTGATATTGTATGAGTTCAAATATCTAGGCTCATGCCTTATTCTACAAGGAAAGTAATTACAAAAGATAAGGAAACAAAATCCTAATTAAAGATTACAAATCCTAATCCTACCTAAATAACGGACTCTAAAATTATTAACAATCATTTGGTTGTTCGCATTGGCAGAGCCAAGTACAAGGCTCCCCTAGGCTATAGCATATATAGGGAAAGTTTTGGATCTTAGCCTTCAAAATATTAATCTTTTGGGCTATTTTATGATTTTTAATTGTCATATTCTAGCAATTGAAAATTTTGAATCATAAGGCTGCTTTTAAGGAAAATAAGAGCTAATAAATGTTAAATAAACTCTTTAACCTATATTATAACTTAATAGTAATAAATTAAAACTTTCATCCCACAAATAGTTTCTTATTTTATTCACCTGAAAGTTTTGAAGGTTAGAAGTTTAGAAAACATAATATAAATTTCTTACCTTTTTTTTTTTTTTTATTTGGAACACATGATATTATATATACTAAGGGGTGGGGAAGTGAGCTAAGCTTCATAATGGACTAGCAATAATGTGGTTCAAATTCACCTTTGGCGAGAATTGAACTTAAAACCTCTTTCTTACAAGTGAAGAGGAATACCACTAAACCGTAGTACTAAGTGGTAGTATAAATTTCTTACTTCAAATTATTACTTTCAGGTTTACTATTATATAACTTTATGTACGCAACAAAAGATTAAAAATTTGATTTCAAAGTAATGATATTTACTTAGTCCACCCATCGAATAATTCATGGCTACGCCATTGGTTGTTCGTTCAAAGCCTTGTTTTTTAGAAAGAGAAAACCTAGGCCAAGAAGACGTTTCTTGCTTGGCTGTTCAATGATTTCATTAGAAGTCAAATCTAAGGCACAAACACAATCACTTTTACATATTTTCTAAGTAGGCCAATCTCGGCCATGTGATAGCATGCTTGCACATTTAAACCAAAGAAGAACCGAAAGTCCTTCTAGCTAGGCCACCCAGTCCGGCCGAAAATAGGGAAACAATGATATATGTAGCTAGTCACCAGATGCATTATGGTCAATGCATTCTACATTTATATGAAGCATGGATCAATTCCCTTTCATGTATGTGTGGGGAAATCGTGGATTTTGTTAAGAGAATTAACGTGTGTTTTGTTGAAGAAAAATTGAGTTTTTGATATTTTGTATCGATATTTTCCATTTTCCATGTGTCAATATTTTGGCATGTCAAACAAGGCTAGATGAGAATACATTTTTTGAGCAGGGCTTTTTATGAATGGTGGTTTTATACTAGAAACTTGAACTATTTTCTTAAATATTATTGGCCATATTGCATTCCTCTCTACTAGTTCAAAATGTTATTTGCAAAGCCCAAACTTAACATGATGCGCATTTCTCTGAACCTCAAGCTTAGTTTGAGCTCGCCCTCAAGTTTTGGACTTGTAGGGTCCAAATAATGGAAATCCGACAAACTAGTTAACAAATAAGATTTTTTTTTCTTGTACAAATCTACGACCATGGATGTAAAAGGGAATACCTCTAACCAGTTTAGCATTATGATTGATAATCTATGCCCCAAAAAGCGTTCAGAACTAATTTACCGGCCTCTGACATTCAAAACTCGTCCCGATAAGAGGTATTAACTTGCCTCTTCAAAACACTTCGTAATTGACGCACAAAACTTAATATTTTTGTTTATGCTCGGAGCCATTCCAATAAAATAAATTGAAACCCTAAAGTAGGAAAAACAAAAGTAGAGAACACTCGGAGTTTAGTATCTAGCACTCCCTTGTGAGTGTATAAAATTACAAAGAAATATATGAGAAGAAAGGATCTTATGATTCAAGAGAAGTTGGAGTGTTCTATAACTTTCACATCACAATACATGTGAGAATACACACGTGATGTCATGATACACAGGTGGTCTCCAATTATTACCCTATTACCAATTCATGACTCAATGAGGATTTAATAAGTTCGAACAACTGTAAGTAGTACCACAGCACCTATATTTGTATGGCGCTATTACGAATACGAGGTCCACCACAAGTTCCCATCCGCTAGGACCAATAGCCCAAACTTCCCATGCACATCGATCTAATAGCTAGCTATATAGCTAGGAACAATAATCCAAAGTACTCCTATACCAAAGCTTACCGAATTAACTAAAACCTAAGAAGTCTTGGTCAAGTGGAACAATCACACCGCAATTATTCATCGAAAGTTGTGGCCATGCACAAAAAGCTTTCATTGGAGCTCGCCCTAAAGGACAGCTGATGACTCCAACCTCATCTCCTTCTTCTTTCTCTGTGTCTGTGGGTGTGGGGAAAGTTTTGGGCACAAAGAAAGCAATAATAAAGGCTTTACTTTTATGTTTGCAAAGGTCAAAAAAGATTCAATTTCCCAAAAGGAACTCTTGTGACAGTGAGTCGGCATTCATACGTTAATCTTAATCCCTTTCCGGGGAAATTAACACTAACTAAGAAGGGTCACGAAAAAGGAGAAGCATCAAGCAATGAAAACAAGGAAATAGATTTGTGATTGCAGCCACAAGAAAAGTAATTGATTGCTAGCATTTGAGATTGCTTCCTTGATTCCAAACCAGCTGCTTTTTTCACGGATTGACTTTTCTTACAAGTAGGGTTTTGTGAGAGGGAAACTAACAGTAAAATTCTAAAAGGAGGGACACAAGCAGACCCCATGTATTAATAAGGACCCTATTAATAATATCAAGCATCTGAAGATGAATGTGATGGTCTTTCTGAGTGTGTGTAATGAGAGAGAGAGAGAGAGAGAGAGAGAAAGAGAGGTTTCCTTGGATTTTACATTAGAGCAGTGGCATCTACCATGTGTGTTCTTAGAAGCCATGACAACTCTTCTTCCAGAACCTTGTATTCAACTTTTTAATTCTCTCTATTCATTTGGGAGGTTCTCAAGTAGCAAATTATAGATGCAAATATGAAGGAAAGTTATTAAAGGAGATACAAATTACACTAGACTGATTACGCATCAATTTAAGTCTGGGATTAAACCACTGGGTTAATCCAGCAAGGGTTTGAAATCCTCCTCTACAACCAAAAACATTTTTAAATCTGGGATTAATCAGCTGCCCTTCAAGAATACAAAGGGAATTCTTAAACTTGAGAAAATTCTCACAAACAATTGATCAAATTAGTTAATGATACTTTGAAACTTGATGGAGCATCATGGATACCTGCACAACTTTTCTTGTCTAGTATATAAATTACTGAAACAAAAAAGAAATGTTCATACAATCAAACTACTCACCTTTAGTTTTCAGCGCTGGTTGGGTTCTAATTAAGCTCCATTGACTCTTTGAACAACCGCAGTTTAGTCATATAAAGCCATAATAAAGGGCAAAAACCAAGGTGGAGTTAAATCATTGTGGGGGACTAAAGCTTTGACAAACACAAGTTCACAACATTCACAGTAACTCCAAGATAAACAATATTAGGGTTTCAAATTGGTGTCAATTGGTAAAGAAAATAATCTAAAGGAAAAGGCAAGTGAACAGATTTCCTTTTGGACAAGCACTTTCCCAAGGTTATAGTATTCGTACTTTCTGCTGAACCTACATTTTCATATGCTCATCACATTTGGAAAGAAACAAGTTCAAGATACATGAGATGTCTAACAGAAACATTATCAAAGCTAACAGGTAAAAGTGTGAGAATAATAGACTGATCTGAGAAAATAGGAAAGTACTAATCTATTTATGCATTATTATACTTTATAATCAAGACTGCAAAAGGATTACTGACTAATAGCGTTAGATTAAGAGTCCGAAACAGATGGGTGTTCAGGGAAGCTAATTTTATATTTATATATTTTTGACAGATGAAAATAGGCATTTGAACAGTGTCAGAAAGGGTGTCATTTTTTTGCTTGTTCTCCTAAGCATAAAATTAATTTGCTATTTTCTAAAAGATTTGTTTAGATATATCGTAGCTTAATAAATCTAGACCCACGAAACCCTAAGAGAGAGAATTATAACGTGAAAGAGAGGAGGGAATGTCTACCAAAGTTATTTTTTTTAATGAACAAAAATAATAAAAAGGGGGGCAGATCTGAAAAAATGGCAGAAGCAGACAGATCAGATACTGGAAGGCATCATTAGGCTACAATCATCACAGCATGATGATTCAAACAAGAACAAAAATAAATGAAAAGGAGATCCAGCAATCATCAAACCTTTTATGCGAAGTCGATGAAAAACAAAAGTAGTCAAGATACTCCTCATTACACCAATCTGCACATAACGAACAACCTTAATTGTTCTAAAGACAAAAACCCAGAATTCTAAACTGAGTTAAAAAAAAAAAAAAAAAAAAAACCCAAAATAGCAAATCGATAAAAATAAAAATAATTAAAAACAAAATAGAAATCAAACCTTCAGATGAAGAACCCATCTGCCCTGGAAAAAAGGTCTCCGTATGGATCGGAAGCCATGAATTGGGGGGAATGAAGCCTGGTCCGACGACACTACTTAACCTGATCATCTATGTATGCAGATGATACACACAACATATACAAACACATACACATATATAGATATATGTATAGGTATATAACGGTTGTTGATCCAGAGATTATAGATCAAGGAAAGTGTCCTCGAGCCAGACAACATTCCCCTCAAAAGCTAAAGCTCCTCTTCTCCTTCAACATCTTCGAAACCCTAGCTACAATAATTTATCCATGAATGAGTGTATCTCTTTTTATGTATGTGTGTGTTTGTTTCTCTGATCTCTTTTATCTCTCTGTCCCCCAAGAGCATCGCCTATCTTCAAGGGGGTTGAGAGAGAGAAGGAGAGAGGAGAGAGAGAAAAAGAGATGAAGGATGATAATGATGATGAGAATGTAGAGAATGATGATATGGTATGGTTAGTATGGCATGGGGTGGGAGGGGGTGACTTATAAATATATATATGAAAAAAAAACCTTATAATATGTAGAATAATAAATGCCTTCCAAAAAAAGACAAAAACATAGGTGCAGACTCCCTACCAGCTGGGTTCTCATCTCTCACTTCCAGAAATGACCACGACCCCATGCACCATCTCTCCTTCTCTCTCTCTCTCTCTCTCTTCTTTTACTGTGTCTAGCCACAGTCATAAATTTTATTTAATTGTTTTTCCAAAATTTCGATAAAATGATACGTTATGTTAAGGTTAAGTAATATAAAAAGTCAAATAATAATTTGATACTAAACTTGTCATAAAAGGAGGGTCATTGGAGAAATAGAGGGTTAGTGTGCTAAATTTTTTAGGCGGAAACAACATGTAAATTTTTTAGTGTGCCATTTTATCAAACAGTTGATGAGCTGAAGTGATATATATGCATAGCCATGTTGAGCGTATGTTGATAGAAGTTGATAACTTTTGAGCGAGTTTGTCGATAAATGTTAACAACAACACACACCAAAGTGCTGACAAGTGTTGCTGAGTCTCGCTGAAACATTTTGTCAAACACTTTGTGGAATTGGTTACTACCCCAACAACCAAGGGGTCATCGGAGGCACTCTTCAGAAACTTTTTCTGCCGGAGTCAAGTAACGAAGTTGATCCCGCAATAAATCTGTCAATTGATCAGACCTAAAATTTCTTATTTACATAGTAAAAATATAGTATACTAATAAATTGTAATATAAATTGCATAGTCACAAATGAATTAAAGAAAAAAAAAAAAACATGTTTATAGGTTTTTATTTTGGTCAATTTATTAGGTTGGATTTGATGGATGAAAGTGATATGATATGATATCCACCGTCGGATTTGGCAGATGAGCCTCCTCGTACCGCATGGAGCATGAGAATTAGTACCACAAAAAGTGAGGAAAAAAAAAAAAAACACTCACCATTTGATTTAGGGCAGGAGGGTTCGATTGTGTCATCAAACATATATTAAGGGTAGTGAATAGTGAGCCTGCTACTCTACTCTGTGTAAGCCTAGTGATCGATGGACCATTTTTGACCGTAGGATATTATCATTGTACAATGATCAAAAAGTGGAAAAACAATCACATAACAATGACAAGTTGGGTACATATAAAAATTTGAGTAATACTAAATATATATAAATTAAATTTGTAAATTAAATAATGTATATGAAATAAAAAATAAGAACATTATTAATATTTAAGTAATAATTAATTATTATTCTTTATGTTATTTAGTTTATAAATTTAATCTCTTTAATATTATTATAAAATATTTCTCCAACAAATATGAATAAATAAAAAAAAAGAATCAAAACAAACAGTGGAGCTATGAAGCGAGTCAGAGGAGTGGTTGAGTGATTGAGCTGCCCGATGATGGAAACCCCATTTAATACTTTTGTCACTTTTATGCGAAATCACAAAATTAATTAATTAGTTTAGAACAAGATTAATTTTTAATTCATAAAATAAACAATAAAAAATGGGACCCTCGGCTGGCGTGTCACTTTAGAGCTGACGTGCAGGACGATGAATTCGAGGTGATGACCGACAGATGGGGCAGAGGGAGTCCATTCCCTCATTTTTCACTTTGCCTTTTAACCTTTTTGGTTTTTACCTTTCGCCGACCCCCAATTCTTCGGCGACTTTTCTGGGTTCCTCCCTTCTGTGCGTGTGAATATATGTTTGCCTTAGGTTCGACGACGCCGTTTTATTTTTCACCCCACCACCTAGGTTACATCTTTTACCTTTTTCTTTTACTCCATGTCGCATTCATCTATTCAATTCAAACATTCAAGGGGAATTGACATGGCTTGGGAATGATTAATTAATTAATTAATTGTCGTAAATTTGGGTGTATGAAAGCATATAGGATATTTGCACGTTGGTGAGATGGGAATAATGGGTAGATAGGTTAATTTATGAACCCTAGTTTTTTTTTTTTTTTTTCTTACATCACAAGCTGCAAAAGTACTGAGCCTATACAGGCAATAGACCATACACTCTGGCATGTTTTATATTACAACTGTGGCAAATTTAAAAAAAAAAAAATGAACATAAATTAGGGGCTGCAGAAGTTGGACTTGTAAAAAAAACCACTTAAAACAAATGCATTGCAGTGTTAAAAGTGCTGTAAATAATTGTATTAGGGCTCGTTTGGAAGTCCTTTAAAATGACTGAAAATGCTTTGGTGAAATTGTTCTTGGGTTCGAAAAGCACTCAAGTGCTTTTGAAAGAAATAATAGTTATGTGTTTCTTGCATAAAGCACTTCAAGTAATTTTTTTTTCTTTAGAATTCATTTGTATTTTTACTAAGAATTAATGTGAAAAATACTCTCATTAAAAGCTTTTTCAGTTATAAAACACTTATAAACGAGTCCTTAGTAATGTTCATGTTTACTAATTCTTTATTGAAGCATTGTATGTTGGAGTAAAAGTTTTGATTTAAACACACATGCCGTTCAGTATCATGGTTGGATAATTTATTTGAATTATAACCCCAGCTAGAAAAAATAATTGCATATAATATAAGGTGTTTGTTTTAATACAAGTCAAATGGAAACCCTACCTACCAATTTGACATATAGATATACCTAGGTCTATATGCGGCTATGCCCTTACCTAGCTCTTGTAAGATTCAAGTGATAATGTCAAGCACGAAATTCGCACAATAATAGCCTAAATATTGGAGTTAGTCCAATATAGACTAGAGCTGTATATCCAGATGTTTATTACCAGAGAGCTGCATAGTTGGATTCTTAATCATGAAACTTTTAGCTGCATATCCAGATGTCTATTCACCTGGTTCAATCTACGAGCCGATCCATTCTAAAATTTCTGTTAATTAATATTTTTCATGCAAAATTGAAAATACAAATAAAAAAAGTTCAACACATAGGACAAAGGTCCTTAGTTAGGGAGACATTATTTTCAGCTTTTGGTAATAATATTTGTAGTTTCTTGGCATGGTGAGGAATAATTACCATTAAAAAGTTGAATGAGATCATGTACATTAATGTAATTAGAATAATATATTTGTTGATTAGTAAAATCGAGAATTTGGAATCATGATGATCTCCTTGTTTTATCTAAAAGGGGGTGTCCGGAAGATGTGCTGCCGTGCCTAGTGAACCCAACTTCACCACCAGATTAAGAATAACCCTAGTGAGACTCAGACCTACCTTTAAATTTCTAGCTCTTATTCGTATTTGGGTCTTTTTCTTCTCTCTTTCTGTCTTTCTTTCTTCTTTCTGTCCTTCTTTCTTCTTTCTTCTTTCTTTCAAGGTTGAATGTGTATTTGCTGTACATGTATATATCAGATTGACAAACGGAGAGGACGATACTGGCTCCAGACTTCGAAGCTATTACAGGTCTTGAAAGTTGTGTAAATTAAGAAGCTGTGTGACTGACTGACCGTGAGAGAAAAATGAAAGAGAAACACAGAAAGGCGCAGCAGGAAAGAAACAACACGTAAATGTCAAATCCTTCCCCCTAGCTACTCCTGTGCTTCCTCTCAAAGCCAGCTTGTCCATCCACACATTTCAAACTTCAAACAACACAGTACTATACATATAATAAATTTGCTTATACATTAACAGTATGATTCTTATATATGTATAGAAACGGTCTCTTGTGCAGACATAATTTGTATCGATAATGCGCCAAAATATATGCTTTGCTATTAAAATACTATCTACCAACATTATCAATACTTTATTAATATCATGGAGACACTGTGTAAAGAACAGACGTCTTGTGAAGTGAGAGAAACTACAAATGCATTTGAAATGTTTATAACAAAGGACAGGTGATATAACAAAAACGACCTGGACCTAGGGTTTTACTGTCTTCACTGCACTGCATAATCCACGTGCTTGTCACGTGGTGTCGGTATTTTTGGGTGTGACATACACTGACTGTGAGACTGTGTGACCCAGTGTATGACTGTGTGAAAGAGAAAAGGACCAAAGGTGGTGGTGGTTGAAAAGGAGGAAAAGGTTGAGAAAGCTTTTTGACAATTAAGTCAATTTGGTGTCTGGATCGATAAAATAAAAGGCTGGGAAAACATATGCACACACGTACTTTGTACTAATCACTCATATATTATTGATTAATCTATCTCTAAAGGGACTACAGATAATGTAAACTTTCATAGGGAATTACACAAGCCTTTCCTGGAGGTTATTGCAGTTGTAATATATATGCTACTGCATGCTCTTCAGCTTTTGAATTCCTTTGAATGTCAGTTCTTGAGTGTATTCACTCTCTCCTTTTTCATTTTTTTTTTTTTTTTTTTTTTTTTGGAACTTTTAAAGGATAGCCAAAGCTCTCTGTGTGGACCATGATGGAGACTATAGAGAGTCAATACAAATTCATACTCAATTACTATAATTTAATTGTAATTTGGTGGCGAATTGAAACTCTAATTCTTGCAAAAGATGTATTTCAATCAGATACAAGCCTTTCTCAGTCAGTTGGGGTTTTGAGTGGCAAATGGTTTTTAAAACAATGTTAGGCCTGCCTTCGTGTTTCCCAATATCAAATTCAGGCCCAGCCTCAGAGTGGGCCTTTCAACCTTCCAACTTGTGGATGTGATTTAGAGGCCAATTTGTTTTTATACAACTGATATTTTAGAAGGGGCTCTACAACAAATAAACGTTTCAGCGACGAAATGATTCCTCAGTAGAAGTTCGTATTCGACACTTGAGGTGTTTGGCGAGGAAATCGCTTCGTCGCTACGATCATCACCGGATCTCAGCCAGTGAATACATGAATTTCCTCGCTGAAGTTTGGCTTTAGCAAGAAAGAAACTTTGTCACTACTGTTATGGAATTTCTCGTGGTAGCTCAATTTCAGCAATGAATTTTTGAATCAAGTCACATGGGTTGGCTATAAATAATTAAAGTATCGACTTCTCTCCTTTTATGGAAACATTCAAACGATCAAAGAGGAATGAGTGTTCCTCTATTCCTACTACGCTTGATATTCTAGAACCCACTCGATGGACAACAATGGTTCAATATTTTAACAATCAGATCTCAAAATAT